GTTCATTGTACAGTTCATCAGTTGCTCTCTTCTGTTATTGTTATTATTGAATATAATATGAAATATACATGAAAATTTGTGAGTCAGGGGCCGTCAGTTCACTCACTTACGGTAAAAGGTTGGCCAACACTGATGTATGAAAGTTATGAAAAAGAAAAAGCAACAACCCCTGATTCTGCTAATGTAGTCTGTGAGACTATAAACCAAAAATATTATTTATGACAGACATCTTGTACCAGCCAAAGACAGTGATAGCACCAATGTTTTCAGCTCCATACAAAGAGCATAGATACATTTGTCATGGATGGCTTGGCTACACAGCTAAATGTAAAAAACAGTTTTAGTACATAGCAGTACAAATACAGTACCTTGTCTCTTCATTCTGGTAATAAACATGAGTCATGACCACTGACTGTGTACAGTCTAAGTAAAAGATACTGTGCAGGCTTGATAAAGAAAATTAGCCATTTCCATTGTTGGCATGAAAAAAATACAAGCTGACTTCATTTCGCAACCATTCATTTGTGAAGACAACATTCGACCTGAGAGGTGCCATCAAAACTGATTGGTGAAAAACAGGAGCTTTCGTAAAGACTGGAAATACAAATTATGATATTGGTGTTGATGTCTGGTCTTGAAGGTTAAACAACAAATTCAGATGAAATCATATAAAATGTAGGTAAAAAAAGAAAACCAACAAGTGCAAAACATCTTCTGGACTGCTTTCTCTTTGGACCTCAGCAGCCATTGTTCAGCATGTCGTGACTAATTTTTGCATAGCAGTTGAGTAAGGACTGTAAGGCTCCATTTGTTGTCTTCAGGGAGATTAGTGCCTGGCTGCTGTTGCTTGATTAAATTTGGTCTACACAGCAAGGCAGTTTCAAACATTGCAATGGGATGGGATGGTAAGGAATGGTAAAAGCACCAGGTTGCAAGCCGGTTGGACGAAAAGCTGCAGATTACACACGTTTACTGCAACCATCAAACCACAAGCATGTCTTCAGGGTAAACAACCTTTTTTTTACCTTTCCCAAGTCCCGCCCCTTTTTGCTCTGTGCCCATGACCCTGTCTCCGGTTCTTTTCCTTCCTTGGCCCACTTTTGATAGGTACTGCAGACCAGGAACACCCCACAAGAGCTGCAGTTTAGAGATGCTCTGACCCAGTCGTCTAGACATCACAATGTGGCCCTTGTCAAAGCCACTCAAATCCTC